CAAGCCTGTTTGTATATATGCAGGCCTCGGCGGGAAGCAAGAGCTCTTGTTCTCGCCCACACTCCCCTAAAACGGTTTACGGGAGCAATTTCCGGCTCTCGCAAAAGTATAATTTTTCTTACGAAAGTATAATTATTGTTGTAACTAAAGTAAAAAATACAATGTCACTTTAAAAAATTATTTGCATAATATACTGCAATGCTTTTTAAATAGCACAGTTGTTGCAGAAAAAAAAAATTAAAATTAAAAAAGAGCACTGATTTGAATGAGGAGAAGCTCACACAGCTTCATAAGTTCTTAGGAGAGCTTTTCTCTGCTCTCGTGCTCATTTATTCCCGCTGAGGCCTGTATTTGTATCATGCCTTGTTAAAATAAATAAGTGCTGAATGCATTAGTTTAACGCAATGTTTGGCGTCATAAAATTATCTTTTTTTTTTTTAATGATGTTGAGTGTTTTAACTACTGCAATAATTAAATACCCGCTAACCAGTTCAATTTAACATTTAACTTAGTTAACTATAAACGTTTTAAATTTTACATTTATATATTATGAAAAAATTTCAATTATTTCTGAAATTTGTTTTTGAATAATTATTGTTTTTAAATCGTTATAATGATTTTTTTTTTTTTAATTTTGGGAGTAAGCAAAAAAAAATTAACACATTGATAAACAAAAAACCATGTTAAATATTTAAACAGCAATTTTGTTTTAACTAGCAAAGAATAATTTAGGTTTTTAAGTAATTTTTAAATATATGTTGCATAGCGTTTTATAATTTTTTTATATTATACAACTTGCGTTGTATAATATAAAAAAAGTATCATGTCTGCTTTGAACATATTTTCAATATGTAATTTAGAAGGCATTCGCCAGGAATTTAATTCATAAATGTTTTACGTTGTTGTAAAAATGTTTTACATTGTAAACAAATCTCAAAGAAACACAGAGCTATCGAGAAAATTTTTTTTAACGATTAAATTTTTTTTTTGAATTTTATAAAATTATAAAATAAAAATTAAATTAAAAATAGAAGTCCTAATTATGCAGTGGTGTACACTGGATTTTTAGATGTTTGAGTTTTGACACTTACACGCATTTTGCAAACTCCAAACTTTTGTATGTCCATACTTATGTCAAATGAGAATGTTTTGCAAAAAGTTGTAGTGATTGGAGCTTGGGGACAAAAAAAAACCAATTTTCGCACCCACCCAGCCCTTAACGTGGGAGCAACAAGTTGATAAAATAATTTCTTTAGTATTTTTATCTAAGTTTATATTCATCAACGAATATCAAATTTCATGCAACAACCTCTTAGTTTTTAGTTTTTATTACCCTACAGAGTTTACAGTCCCCTCAAATTGAGGGGGGTTAAAACTTTATATGGTCATAATTTTCGAAAAATAAGAAATTATTGGATGAAATTTGAAATTTGTTGATGAATATAAACTTAGATAAAAATTCTAAAAAAATTATTTTATCAACTTGTTGCTCCCACATTAAGGGCTGGGTGGACCCAAAATTTGGGGTGTTTTTGTCCCCAAGCTCTTATCACCGCAACTCTTTGCAAAACATTACCATTTGACATAAAACTCAAACATCTAAAAGTCCAGTGTACACCACTGTTATGCTAACTCAATCGTTAACTATTTTCAAAACAAAAAACTTTTTTAATACTTCTACACAATACTTTAATCGCGCCATCTTAAAGAAAATACTCAAATAAAAAAAAAAAGAGTATATTTAATAATTTGAATTGTATTTGTTTATAATAAACGTTTGTTAAAATTTGTTAAATATTTTTTTTGTGTCAACATTGTGCAGCATCAAGTAAATTATTTGCATCAATTACAGCATTAAAGATACCTAACAAATAAACAAACCACTATGATCAAAAAACATCAGTTAAATGCCCCAGATAAAAAACAGGATTCACATCAATGAAATTTGTGTTCTTGTATAACTGAATTGAACAAAGTTTTGTAAGAGTTAGTGCTAGTGTTTTTTACTTTTTTAGATTAAAGCAATGAAAACAACATAAAATATATACACATGGAACAGTGTCTGTAACTGATCACTCTTATAATTTTTTTCTATACTATCTGACCACAGCTGTTTTAATGTCTTGACAATTTAAATGCAATAAAAAATTTCTCCTAATGTTAAATTTTTTTAAATCAAGCCTTTTTTCTAACAATACTAAAAACAAAACAAATTTGACTTTAGTGTTATTTTGAAGTTATGTTAGTACTCATAATAAACAAAATTTACCAGTTATTTAAATTGAGATTTGGTCTTATGTTAATTACCTAATGTTTTTATTTCTTTGTCTATAACAAATCAAACTGTTATTTAAAATGTCATCAATGTTTTTAGAAATAATTTTGAAGTCTTTAATAATAAGTACATATCATGATGTCACTTTCTCCCCTAAACTAAGCTCTAAGCAGGGTTGCTACCAAATTAGGGAAATCAGGAAATTCACGGAAATTTAGGTATGATCAGGGGAAATTAGGGAAAAAAGATTGATTTAGCTAGAAATCAGAGAAAATCAGGAAATTTTTTAATTTTGTATTATTTTTTAATGTTTCATATGTTTTATAGTAAATAATATTCATTTTTTAGTTAACTAATTGAATAATTATACAGTTCAAAAGAGTGTTTAAATATATTATATTTGATCATTATAAAAAAAAATTACTTTTATTCTAGTCATTTATTTACAGTATATATATTAATTGAAAATTTATGCAAAATGTTTTATGTAGGTTTGGGTGGAACCATTATTAATAATTTAAATGAATTTATTGGGTGTTTTTTTGTATAGAAATAGCTGCAACATGTGAAAATTTTCAAAGTTTTTTAAACCAAATTGTATTTTCATCTTCTTTTTTTAGAACAAATTAAAATTTTTAAATGACATTTTATTTCAATAAAAAATGTTTGAATAATCTATTGTTTAAAAAATGGCTGGTAAATGGCACAGATAAAAAGTCAGTCAAGTGCATAACATGCCAAGTTCAATTCAACTTATCGAATATATATCAGAGAGCTGTGAAGACACATTTCTTATTAAACTTGTGTAATGAGAATGGTCTACTATATCAAAAAATATTTCCTGACAACACAACTGTTAAATCTTATGAGATAGGTAGATAAAAACTTGGTTATTCATTTTGGTCTAAGACATTTTTTTACACATACTTTTGAAAGAAAAATCTGGAAATTCCTTTTTATATTTTTTCTTTTGATGGATGCCTAAATACTACCTTATCTTCTTAAAATTGAGAGTTGTAACCTCCACATAATCCATGTGTTTTTAAAACTGCTTTTCAATCAAGGAAGTTAACAAAAGCTTCATGTAACCTTTTCCATGGTTCTCTTTTGCCAGTCAATAAATTATCATTAGTTCAGCGGTCACTGAACTAATGATAATTTAACTTTCACTAAATTGAAATTAACATTGCTAGTTTGTTGCAGAAAATCTTAGTGAGATATCAGACAGACACCCCAATGATTTTATTTCTTTAAAGATTTATTTTCAACCGATTAATGCTCAATGAGTTTAATAGTTAAACAAGATGTTTTATGCAGCATCATCAATGGAAAGCAACTTTAATTTAATTGTCAGGCAATTAATCTTCTTTTCTTGAAGCAATTAGTTACATCAGTTTCGATTAAATCCTTTCAAAAAAAGAGCTGATTTTGTTATACAGATGAAATCTGTAAAAGATCAGCTTTTACTTCATCTAATTCTTTTCTGCTTGCATATCTTTTCAAATGAATGTGACCTAGCTTTCACACAATTCTTGAAGAAAAAAGTTTATCTAATCTTTTACCAGCATTAAAAAAATGTCACACTAGAAATTATTTTTGATCATACCAACTTTGTCAAATACCAACTTTGATGGTTTCAAAATTTGATCATACCATGATCAAATTTTGAAACCATCAAAGTTGGTATTTTACAAAGTTTTCTCAAAAGTTTTTAAAGTCGTTTTTCTATTAGGTCATGGTCAAGCATTAATTGATAGCGGGTTTAGTATAAATAGTAATATGCAAAGCGAAAAGATGAAAGAAAAGTCACTTGTCCTTTGTGAAAAAAAACAAATGGTTATCAAAGATCTCTTGATATCTAACAAGTTAAAGGCTTAACAAGTAAAAATCATCAATGAAAAACTGTTTGCAATGCCTTGTTGAAATATCAATAATATCTAGAGGAAAATAGAAAATTGCAAACAAAAGGAATTGAAGTTAATGTGATAATGTTGTTGAATCAAGTAGTATTAGAATTTAAGGTGCAGTAAAAAGTTTTAAGTGAAGTATGAAGTATGGAATGTAAATTATTATTTCCTTTGTAGTTATTTATAATATTTTAAATGCTGGTTATTCTTTCATGTTTTTTAATATTTTGACATTTTTTATGTTTAGTATTAGTTTTTGTATTTGTTTCAAAGACCAATTTGCTAATTTTAACTGTTTATTAAAAGGGTACAAAGTATTTAATCTTCTTTTTTTATCAAACAAATTATTGGTTTTTTATTCAAAACGGAAATATAAAAATTTCTTTAATATTAAAGGCACACTATCTGATTTCTTTAGCGGGTAAAAAACGTTTTTATGGGGTTTATGTTGAAGTTTTAATGTTAAGTTGTTGAGTAAAAATGGTAGAAATGTCAGGGGAATACAAGCAAAGTTTCATTGAAAAAATCAGGAAAAATTAGGGAATTTTATTCCAGAATTATTTTGGCACCCCGTCGAATATATTAGGCAACTTAAATATTAGAACAGGTAATATCAAAAGGGTTATTTAAATTGATAAAGTAACAGTTTCTGTTGCTTAAAAAAATATCAAAACTAAAATATTTGTGGAATTTTCCTATATACATATAAATAAGTAAGTAAACATTTGAAATCTTACTTTGATTTTACAAATAGTAATACAATAACTCATGAAATAACTTATAATATGTAAAATTTAATTTGAAACATATTTTTTTAGGTTTACCTGTTAAGCCCTTGGTTTATATCAAACAAAACAAAGATAAAGTTACACCAGGTACATTTATTTAATTGATATATGTTTTTATATACATCTCCAAAAAAAAAAACATTATATTTAAGTATATGTTGTTTTAAATTTTAGAAATTAAATGATTTATAAAACCAGATGTTATACTATATCTGATATATCTAGAATAAAAACAATACATTTTGTAATTTAAATCAGGTTTTAATACAGTCGAGCATTAGATGTACAAAAAAATAATACTTCTATTTTTCAGCTGTTGACACTGTAGACATAAGCTAAAATTTTAATTCTGCTTTGCTAGATTCAATGAGATGAGCAGTTTCTCCCAATAAGTTGATTGACTAAAAAGTTTTAAAATTTTTTTATTTTATCAATTTTTATTGTAATGGGTAAAACATAAGTTATTGGACAAAACAAAAACTGTAATATCTTATAAACAAATAAAGGTAACACTCTTGAAATATTTTTTTCTAAAAAGGTATTTACTTTTAAAAGGAAATTTAGTTATCATAAAGCTCCATTATCTGCAATAGATCTCAATTTTACTTTGACATTTTTGCCAAGCAACTGTATAAAATTTAAATCAATTTTTTAAAGGACTTTTCTTGATAAGGCTTTTCAACCTTTTGAGTCAAATCCACATCTACATTGAAGCCAACACTCTCTGGGCATATTTCTAAAATATTAGTATTAAATTACATTAGTAATATGTTTAATTTAATTATTTCGATGCTTACTTTTGTTAATAATAAAATAAGTATAAATTTAAAATCAAATTTAAATTTAAAACCTTTATACTTTTACCCACTGGTATGCTTTTGGGTGACCCCCTCATCATGCCTGCATTAATGACCCCATGGGAACTAATTTCCAACACTGAAAATCACTCTCAAAGATTTGATGCCAATCACACATAATCGGGCTAATAACATGTTTTAGTCTCACGAGCGCAAAATATCGCAGTGGGTGATTTTATTCATTATATGCACTGAAATAATATAGGTATTCAATATGTGTAATAAATATAATATATATTAAATTTATTGATAGAAATAGTTTTAATACAATTGCTCTTAATACTACAATTAGTTTCAAAACTAATAATAAATATTATTACAATTAGTGGTTTAGGGAACTAATTACTTGCTTATGTAGGTTGTATGACCTTGCAATTAACCTGATTTTAGATTAAAAGAAATATAACATGTTGTACTAGTATTCCTGTAACTTTTAAACTAAAATTTTTTGTAATTAAATTAGAATTATGCCGTTTCACAAAAACTGCTTTTTTTTTCAACCTTTTGCCTCTTCTTTAAATTGGAATTTATTTTTTTAGATGTCAAGGAGAAAAGTTATTAAAAAACATTAGGTAGTTAATAATAGTTATCTGCTTGTAATATTAAGGCCAATATACTAACAAATGTGTTCTTTGTGTTTAAATCTCTTTTTTTTTAGTGACAAATATTTTTAATCAAAATTTTTTAAATTTAATTTTATGAAATTAAATAAAGATGCTGTAATTTTACAACTATTAACTTTGTTTAAAAAAAAAAAATTTTTGTTTCAGAAGCAGAAATTTAAATAAGAATGTAGCGAGAAAGAATTCACAAATTCAAAAATTCATACTTTAATTGGCTTTTGATAAAAAATGTTTTTGAAAATTTATTAAATCAATCATAAATATCATTTTTATATTTAGATTTAAAATATTTTCAATACAGCTTCTAATATTGTAAACAAATTTATTTTACAAAGTTGTGAAAGTTGTGATATGTTAAGTTGTTAAAACAAGACCAAGGAAATGTTTTAAAATTTTGTTTTAGAATTATGTAAACTTTATCCTTTCTACTGATGTGATTATACTGTGATAAGTAAATTTATCCATTTTTACTTAACTATAAAACTGATTATTTTTAATATTTTTCATTTTTTGTTGTACATACTTTATTTATATTGCCTTTACTCACATTAACATTTTTCTTCAATATAAAATAGTATTATGTTTACATTTAGATTTTACAAGAAAAGTTGAAAGTCAAAAGAAGTTTTTAGAATTAAAAAAGCAATTAAAAAAAAAGACTGTAAAGGTTCACTTACAAATATTTTTTTAAGTTTTGTTTTTTAAAAAAATTAACAAAATTTAACACATAATACACCTTAAAAAGTAGGCAGTTGCTAAATTGAACTAAAAATTAATTCTAAGTATTTATTGTAGTAGATCTAAAGAAACTATTCAGCTCAAAATTTTAAATGTTTTACATGTGGGAGAATTTAGGATTTTCTCATGTTTTAATTGCCCTGCATTTGAATATTTACTGTTTTACAATTGCAGCACTTCATCTAATCTATTATAATCATTATCTAAATAATCTATATAATCATTAATCTAAAATATATCAAAATTTGTCTATCAATATTTAAATTGCAATTCATCAATATTTGGCAATAAACATTTAAACTTTTTATAGAGAAAGATGAGATTAGCTACTTATTTATACTCACTTCTCCATTGTCAGTGTTTTCCCACTTTAAATACACGAGCCTACAAATTAATAAAGTTCTTGTAATTTTTTTGTCAGAGTTTGGTGCACTTAACAGTTTTTTGATGCCATTATAGTTCCAAAATCCAAAGATTTAAAACCATAATACTTCAGGATTATCTTCATGCTTTTAAATAACAGTGACACGGTACTGTCACAACCTTGGTAGTACCACGCTCAATTTGTTTCTCCGTGCAGCAGTCTCATTTGTCAAGGTTCGTGTTTCAAAGTTTTAGAGTTGAGAAAGGGTAATAACCACAATTCAATAGCCTCATCGCCTGAAGTGGCTTTCTCGGCTTTGTAGAGGTAAATAATTAAAAAAAAAAAAAATTACACTAATATTAAACATTCACATTAAAGATCTAGTTAAATTTTATATATAATTATACAGTTATAATTATAATTTTATATAGTTAAATATTATACAGTTTATAAATTATAAACTCTTGTTTTACTTCTCATTTTAAAATTTATTTCTATTTTGCTTTGCACTAACATTTTTTAAAACAGTTTAAACCATGGTTTACACCTATTAACCTTTTTGGATACTAACATAGTAGTGTGCATTTGTAATACTTAACTTTGTTACTTTTGTAATATATTTATATTTAATTATATATAAATTATTTTGTTTGTTGAAAAGTACAACTGATTTATTTGTTTTACTGTTCATTGCTGAGTCATTAAATTGGCAGCAGAATCAATCTTATTCTAAAAATCATCTATTTTTAGAAGTTGATTAATATATTTTGCATATAACAGGTTTCAAACAATTTTTTACATTGTCTTGACTTGTAATGGTCTTTTAATCTCTCTTAACCCAAATGAACAATGCCTTTAATGAAGATGTTGTTATATAGAACACGTTTTTGAAGTTTTGAAAAAGTTGTTTTGTGGATTTGTAGAACACATTTTTCATTTTTTTATTTTAGTTTTAAACAAAAAGATAAAAATAAAAACAACAAAAAAAAGCATTTCATTTACATTCTGAATATAAGAATAAAAACAACAAATTAAAAATTATTCATATTCTATAAAGAATAATAAAGTAAAAATGACAAAAAGTACTTTTATTTCAAATCTTAGTACAGTGATTAAAATAAATTTGGCAAAACAAATGCTATATTTAATTTTAATAAAATAATTAAAATATAGGCATATAACAAAAATTTTGACCAAATGCAGATTGGTGGTGTTAGGGTCCCCTGAGCGAGGTTTATCTTTAAGGCCTCTCATTAACTTTTTTAAATAGAATAGCCCAATTGGCAACTGTACTATATTATGAAAATTGTCTTCATAATAAAACACCGATTCATCAGTTATAGCTTGTTCTGAAACTCAGGGTAGAGCACAGATATTAATATATGCTTGTTCAATTTTTTCCATTTTTAAATTTTTCTTTTAAATTTGTTTAATAAAAATTAAATGACTTTTTTAATACACAATCAAAAAAATTTTAACCAAGTATTTAAAATGTTCATAATTAAATGCTGTTTAAGATATTATTTAAATATTTATTGATTTCCGAAATTTAACATTTTTTAAAACAGTTTAAACCATGGTTTAAACCTATCAACCTTGTTGGATACTAACATAGTGATGTGCATTTGTAATACTTAACTTTGATACTCTTCTAATAAATTAATATTTCATTATATAAAGATATTTTTTTTGTTGAAAGGTAGAACTGATTGATTTGTTTTACTGTTCATTGTTGGGACATTAAATTGGTAGCAGAATCAATCTTATTCTAAAAATCATCTATTTTTAGAACTAGATTAATTCATATTTTGTATATAACAGGTTTTGAACTTCAAACTTCAAATTTTTTACATTGTATTGACTTGTAATGGTCTTTTAAACTCTCTTAACCCAAATGAATAATGCCTGTTGTTATGAAGATGTTGTTATGTAAAACACATTTTTGATGTTTTGAAGAAGTTGTTTTGTGGATTTGTAGAACATATTTTTCAGCTCGAACTTTTTGCACTTTACTATAGTTGGACTTTTATAGTTGGACTATATATTGGACTTTTACCTTTACCAATGCAACTAGTGTTAGCTGACTTGTATCCAACTTATACCTGTTTCAAATACTACCTCAACTTGTGCCTTGTTATAACATCACATAGTCTTTATTGGCTGTTTCTAATTAGTGTTGAATTTTCCTTACATACTTCAATTCTATTCTTTCTGTTTTGATCACTTTGATCACTTACTCTTTGATCACTTATGAGGTATCCTAAATAATGCTAGTTTTCTATTTGTAAGAGTGTTGTGACAAATGTTTTATTTTAGTTTTTAAAAAAAAGATAAAAATAAAAACAACAAAAAAAAGCATTTCATTTACATTCTGAACATAAGAATAAAAACAACAAATGAAAAATTATTTAAGTTCTAGAAAGAATAATAAAGTAAATTGACAAAAAGTTCTTTTATTTAAAATCTAATACAGCGATTAAAGTAAATTTGGCAAAACAAATGATTTATTTTAATTTTAATAAAATAATTAAAATATAAACGGTATAACAAAAATTTTGACCAAATGGAGACTAGTGGTATTAGGGTGCCCCGAGCAAGGATCATCTTTAAGGCCTCTCATTACCTTTTTTAAATAGAATACCCTAATTGGCAACTGTACTATATTTTGAAAACGGTCTTCAAATTATAATACCGATTCATCAGTTATGGCTTGTTCTGAAACTCAGGGTAGAGCACGGATATTAATATATGCTTGTTCAATTTTTTCCATTTTTTAATTTTTCTTTTAAATGTGTTTAATAAAAATTAAATGACTTTTTTAATACACAATCAAAAAATTTTAACAAAGTTTTTAAAATGTTCATAATTAAATGCTGTTTAAGATATTATTTAAGTATTTATTGATTTCTGAAATTAAATAAAATTTTGTTTTTTCTTTTAGAAAACTGAATCAACTTCTGAAAATTTAATACGTAAAAGGCAAAGAATAAGTAAATATGAAGAGATTAAAAATAAAAGATATCCAAAACGAGGAACTAGGAAAAACTACAAAGAGGCTGATGTTCCTGATGAAGGTCATTATTTATGTTAGAATGTTGCTTTTAACACTAAATAGTATTGTTTTTAGTTTAAATATTTTTAAAACTTTTTAATTCCAACCAATTTAACTTTAAATTCAGTTAGTGAATCTTGCTCAATATTTTTTTTTCAAAAATATTTTTACTTCAAAAAAATTTTAAAACCAGTGTTTTTTTATCATATAAAACACATTAGGAGGTAGCAGCTATATTTTTTTTAAATATTGTTTTTGGGACGAACTTATAAGTATAAAGTATTTATTATCAAAACGCAGTGTGAACAACTTTATTTTTATGCTCTAACTGGATTAAAAAATATCAGGTAACTTTAATAAAATTAATAATAAATAATAACATATAGCTAAATAAATTTAAAATTTTATCCTAGTAATTAATTAGCTGATAATAATACAGTGCACTTACAGTTTCAATCATGTGTTGAATTACATATTTAAAAAGCCACATAAAATCAAAATTGCTAACATTGTATTTTGATAAGAAACACTTTTTATGTTACTTTTACCTGCAGAACCAGAAATCAGCTGAATTGCTAATATTTGTTTGTATATATATATATATATATATATATATATATATATATATATATATATATATATATATATATATATATATATATATATATATATATTTAATTATTTACCTCTCCACCGAATACAGTCGAGAAGGCTATTTTTGTGATTACAACTCTTTCTATAACTCCGAAACATGAACAAGTCCGCGGCACGAGAAGCAAGTTGACAGACAAGTATCACAGCTATCATGCAAGTAACAAAAAAAGAAAAGCAAAATTAATTTTTAGTACCAAAAATTTTGTTCTTATATTATAAATATTAGTAATTTAGCTAATTCCTGATACTGGATGTAACAGTAAAATATATAAACAATATAAATATATATATATATATATATATATATATATATATATATATATGTATATATATTATATATATATATACACGTGTATATATATTATATATATACATGTATATATATATATACATATATATATATATATATATATATATATATATAAATATATATATATATATATATATATATATATATATATATATATATATATATATATATATATATATATATATATATATATATATATATATATATATATATATATATATATATATATATATATATATATATATATATATATATATATATATATATATATATATATATATATATATATATATATATATATATATATATATATATATATATACTTATATATATGTACATACACATACATAAAAATGACAAAAAACAGTCGATTGATAAGACTAACACAGTATCCTTAAAGGCATACTCACTGGCTTACTAAGCCAGTTAGAGCAAAACTTACTAACTACACACATATATATATATATATATATATATATATATATATATATATATATATATATAATATATATTTATATATATATATATGTGTATATATATAATATATATATATATATATATATATATATATATATATATATATATATATATATATATATATATAAATATATATATATATATTTATATTTATATATATATACAAATATATATTATATGTGTGTGTAAAATAATAAACATACATAATGTGTATTATTACACACACACATGTACATATATGTGTGTATATATATATGTATGTATGTATGTATGTATGATGTATGTATCTATATATATATATATATATATATATATATATATATATATATATATATATATATATATATATATATATATATATATTATATATATATATATATATATATATATATATATATATATATATATATATATATATATATATATATATATATATATATATATATATATATATATATATATATATTATATATATATATATATATTAGTAAATACATTTATAAATAGTCATAACAGTAAAAACAAATTTTTATATGGAAAAAAAGTTGAAGCAGTGACCAGAAAAATATCATAAATATAGAACATATTTATCTAAAGTTTAAAAAAAAATTATTGAAATCCTACAATCTGATTTTAAGAAAATTGATTTCAAATAAATAAACAAATCTATAACTTTCACTAAAAATTTGTTAATTGAAAATAAAGTTTAAGTACTCTAAGATATTTTTTTTCCTTTTTTTATTTATATTTTTGTGAAATTTTTATAATAATATACTGATCAACATTAAAAATAAGGCTACAACAGAGTTTTCAGAAATCAAATAACAAATAACACGATTGTCATATAAAACATACTCTGTAGTTAAGAACCCTAGCCATTTTAAAAGTTCAAAAGTTTTTCGTATTTTCTCATGCATGCGTACCTAAACATAGCGCTTGTAAATGACTGTGAATAATTTAAAGTAATTTTGCTGTAATTAATTAAATTGGTACAGTTAATGTCGATAAATATGAAAAGCAAATAAAAAGATTTAATTATGTCAAAAATCATGTCGTGCTTATCCGTCGCGCAGTTTTTATTCATCAGGAGGCCTGGTATATATATTTAAATTTTTTCTATTCTATTTTCTTTTTTCTTTGAGATAATATTTAAATAGATACAGAGAAATATAAAATATACTAAAATATAGGCACATTTATGTATATAAACTTACCTTTTAACAAATTACAGTCAGTTTTCTATGTTAAATACATAAAATATAAATCTAATATTTAATAAATCCATCATATAATAAAACAAAATATTAAACTTACTCAAATAAGTAACAGTTCGACTGTCTAAAATTTTTATTATTATCAACCCTTCTATTTAAAAAAAGTGATTGATTTTGAAGTGACTAAAAAGCACTTCAGCTCTTTCCAATTTCACTAAAAAATAAAACAAATCTTGCTTCGCTAAGTTGCCTAGTTCTTAAGAATCTGAAAAAAAAATAACTAAAAAAGAACAAACACACATTTATTTATTAAAACTATGCTATTTGAATAAATTAAATTAAACAGCCAACAACATAAGTTCACCTTGAAAGCTGAAATACTTTTCAGTACAAATTTGCTTGCAGACCTTGCTTGTATAACCACTTGAATAAGAAAAGCATTTAGAAAAGCCTAGTAGCTACTTAAAAATGGTATATGCAACATTGAACTTTAAATGTTGACTGGACTAATTATTGGTAGATATTTTTAAAAAATTCATAAAAATTTACAATGATTTGTTCTTCTTTACCACATAAATACATCATATGAGAAATTTGAAGTTAAAAAATGTAACAAATTAGTAAATACAAAAAAAAACATTATATATGAATTGAAAATCAATGTATCTGATAGAGATACGCTGAAGTGATACCAGAGTAGTTAAATTTTGTTATTTCACACCAACATAAAAATTAGCCAAAGGTAACAACATTACGCAAAAAATTATCAAAGATAATGTTATGTATTTTCAGAATAGAATATTGAAGACTAAACAACACTTAGACCTAAAGCAGTAGCACTGCTTGATTGATAAGGTTGACAATCAATCAATCAATCATTTTATCACTTTATAAAGTAAATACAAAGTTAGGATCAGATATAAATTTGACAGAAAGTATAACATATTATAAGTTCATGAGTAATATCAGGTAATAATAAACACTTAAAAGACAGAAAGAAAAAAAAAAGAAAGCATTTAAAAAAGAAGCTGAAAATGCTAAATAACAGGCTTTAAAATAGAATGAGAATAATACAGTAACAAGAGCATGACTAATAGCGTGTTATTAAAGAAAAGAGGCGAGAACAATTTTACAGGTACAAAGGACAAGGTCAAAACGGAAATGAAAAACAATTACTGAGATAAATAACAGCAGAAGCTTTACTTATTATTTTTGTCTTGAATAAATTCCTTGACTTTGTTGATGAAGAGAGCTCTGCTTCCTTTATTTAAATACATTGTCTTAATTTCAGAGGGAAAATAATTCCATGATTTAATGGATTTATATTTAATGGGATTAATGCCATACTTTAGTGTTTGCTTCAAAGGTATTACAAGATTGTTACATGATGCTGATCTAAGGTTATGGCAATGACTTTTATTAACAAATTTATAATAACTATTGAGGCTTATTGGTAAGTTATTGTGCAAACTGTCTGTTACAAGTGTGCAATTCAGCAGGATTATTAGATCTTTTAGATTCATTATTTTTGAGAGATTGTAGAGGATTTTAGAGTCAAATCTATTAGATTGGAAATGAACTATTTTAAGTGATTTGTTTTGTAGGCTTTCTATGATCTTTATATACTTTGACTGATTTTGCCCCCATATCTGACAACCATAAAGCATATGTGAATTAAAGATAGCATACCATATATTTATGAGGGTCTCGTAGCTTACAAAGTGCCTTCTTTGCCAAAATTCCATTTGCCAACATTCCATTCGCACGGATGAGTTTAAGAGCAGTCTGCTTTAGCTGGTGTGTGAAGGAAAGGTTTTCATCTAATATTATTCCTAAATATTTTATTCTACTAACAAGATTTAACTTTTGGCCACTGATTCTGAAATTTAATTTTTTTATGAACTTGTACACGGTGTAGTTTAAATAGAATTACTTTGGTTTTTTTTTGCATTCAGGGATATTTTATTTGATCTTAACCATTGAACCAAGGAGGCCAAGTTGTAATTAAGGTGTTAATTTATTTTTTTTTAAGTGATTTTTCAGTTATTAGGACATTAGTGTCATCAGCAAAATGATATGTTTTTGAGAACTTGGTGCATGTGTTTAAGTCATTAATATAGATAAGAAAAAGGAGAAGGCCAAGAATTGAACCTTGTGGAACACCTACAGATATTGATTTGGTATTAGAAAAGATATCAGAAATTGTAACAAACTGAGAACGGTTCAAGAGGTATGACTTGAACCATGAGTGAGCAATTCCTCTGATACCATAATAATAATGCAATTTTGATAACAGAATTCCATGATCCACAGTGTCAAATGCCTTTTGTAAGTCAATAAAGACCCCACAAGTTAATGTGTTATTGT